TTTTGGTGCAAATATCTAGAAACTCTATTCAAATCATACGATTTCTTTGGAATAACTACTTCATAAAAATGAGGAATCACTTCTCTTTCTATTCCCACATGTCATATTAGTGCAAAGTAAACGATTCCTTATCACAAATGAGGCTCTTTATTGCAGAAGCCTGGGCAACAATTTGATGGACCCGTATGCAGCCTCTTTCTACGGTTGCATTGTCCTATTTTTAACTCTTCCCATCACAAATTCCGCTCGAACCAGGTGCAGCTCGGTCCTGAAGTCGTCTTTATCTTGACTACATGCATATACACCACATCATGTCACTTCTTTCCTCTGGCAACTGAGCCGACTGTCCACAGGTTGACTAAGGCCTCTTCTGAAAACTACATTGTCATGGCCCGCCCAACTCCTATCTGTTTGCACCACCCCATCTCAGGAAAGCAGCAACATACACACACACACATACACAAACACATATTCACATATGCATACATTCCAGTGACTTGTGTCTGCTTTATCTACTCTTGTCTTTTCTGCATGAACACCTCAACGACTGTGGGCCTAGGCAGCAAACGCCCGGTTGCAGCATCTCGAGGGGGATGGAGAGACAGTCGTCTGTCCTACTGACCCGGTTGTTTGCTGTTCTCTGAAAGCCACTTGTCAGACCCAGTCCTGTTTGCGGTGTACATCTGTAGGGTTAATCGCCATTTGTGTACGCTTGCCAGGCGGAAATCACAGTTGTGCCGACCCTAGCCACGGAAACTGCCGACCACACGAGCTGCCATCTTCGCGCCATCACATGTGCGCACACATACATGTCGACAGACATGTGCACTGACACAAGCTGGCGGGCGGATTTGCACGTTATTGGCCCAATCGGCCACTTGCGGATCCGGTCTGTTGGGAACAAGCAAGAGAGGACCCAGCAGTTGGGACCTTTCCACACTGTCCGCAGAACATCACCTCGCCGAGAAGAACAGTTGATGTGTCCGAAACGATCCAGTCTTGATGCTCGGCGCAAACAGACGAACTTCAGGCCGCTCAGCCGGCCCGGCGGAGGATCGAGAATTAGCTTGTAGGTTCATGAATTGCGCGTTCATGTGACTTCTTTGCAAGTAGTTTTCGAGACGAACGGTCCATCTTAACTAACAGGA